CACTGCTAAATTAGGGACGGCTAGCGCAGATAGCCCTCGTGTAGCTTTGCGCGAAATTCCAAAAACAAAAACAAAAAATGCAGATGCCATTTCACAACGTTTGTCTTTATTATACTCAATTCAGGATGTCGAATCAGAGGGTGAAGCGGTGGTAAGTTTCTGGACTTACAATGCTAAAATCCAGGATTTATTTACCCGCGGTGGATAGAATACGGATAACCCTTGTATAGCTTTGTGCTAAAAATTATTATCATTAAATCAGTGGCGTTTTATGTGCTGCAATTAGTACGATAGGACTTTAAACATTTTCAGATATTATCTAATAATTACAATTTACACGCCAAAGTTCTTAGCTTGAGGAATGAACCTAGAAAAACGCAGGTAGCTTGGTTATAAAACAAGAACGGACATATTGAATTTAATATGTTAAATTGATCCAAGAAAAGGTTGAAACTTCGTATTTATTATGCTGGTGGCCGCAACATTAACATCGTATGTCTCTATGCTAAACGGTTTTCCCGGTATAAATTTTTAAAAGTGTTTCCAAAATTCTTGGACATCTTGTAGTACAACAAATCTTATTTGACAGCGAGCTTGTAAGCCATATTCCATGCAATGTTATTTTATTTTTATACGGACCTTGTTAATATGAACAATTTTACCAACTCACGTGTTTTGCAATATTATGATTTTTTTTTTTGTGATTAACAAACTTGTCAAAGGCAGATTCGGGTGGGAGCTCACCCCTTATTTTTTGTTAAGCTATGTTTTTGTTTTTTTATAATCAAGTACGAACTTGTGGGTAGTATTACAGCGGTTGCAGGAATTAAATTAGCGCCCCACAAAAATATAAAATAGAAATCCTGGATATGCATCTTCAGGTTTATAATGTAAATAGCACACTAGGCTCCTGCTTCTGACGTTCAAAACATTAAAAAAAAACATGGCAAATAGCCCTATTACCAGAATTAAAACATTCAGTAGCAGATTTTTCTAGTCAAAATATAATGTTGTGATAAATACAGGAGATAAAAATGTAATTAAAGAGTTTGTTTTAGCGCAAAACTACACATTGGGTTTTCTGCACTTTGTCTGTGCGGAGACTGAACCCTGAACTTTAGCCTTATAAACCCTGAACTAGTGGGACATTAAAAAGAACAAAGTTATTTAGTATTCAACTGTTAAAAATTAAACAGCTGTTGGTTGTTTTGTAATTAAGCAAAAAAACGACACATTGGGCTATCTGTGCACTGTCCACTAAGGGTATCTAAACCCGGTTTCTAGAGTTGTAAGTCCGCAGACATACCGCGGCGCAACTGGGGGCTGATAAGAATAAAAAATACAATTTTTCCTTATCACCAACGTTGATTATTTTGGTCACAAAATATCCAGTCTTTTCTTGCAAAGGCAGCTTTGACGTCATGCTGTCACGACTATTTCCGTAACAATGTTCATTAATTTTAAGCTTTGAAAATTGTTTTCACATTCACATTACTTAATCAAAGTTTTGTGTTTAACTTGCATTAACAATGAGACTATTATTTAATATTTAGTTAAAACTGCTTTAAATTACAGCTCTAACTTCGAACTAGCGCTACATGCAACAGCACGTGCTTATGCTCAGGTGCATGACAAATTCCTCTAACGAGAGCAGTACTTCATCTACTATAGGTCTCCCAAAATACAGCGAGGATAGCTTTACTGGCCATTATTCCCTTTATGAAGCACTAGCTGGAACATTATTGGTTACTTGGGGCAGTGACGTAATCGCAAATCTTTCTGTAGTGCAGTTCATTTAATGCATATGTAGCATGCTGTATGTGAGCTGTAAGCGTCGGTAATTATGATATATTATTTTCAATGAATAATTCCCAT